TAAACAGTACTACAATACATTTTTCTTAGCTCAGTAATATGAAGCATTTGTTTTGAAAGATGATAGTGTACTTTTATGAGCTATTTTAATGTAAAGTATCTTGTTATATTTGGCACAGCGTATACACTGTATACACTGTATACAGAAGTAGTGTATTGTATATGGGTCCTGCTGACCCAGTTTACACCTGTAATTATACACGCGTATGCGTATACGTGGGAAATTTTACACACGTAAGCGTATACGCTACGCATGGAGCACTACCAAAATCGTCATGTTCTTGTTCATATGGTCTATATTAAGCTTGTCAGATAGGGTTACAAACAGACACGTATTGGTGATTGTACACCAAATGCAGATGCTCATTCAAAGAACAGCATGTATTGGGTGAAAAAGAACAATATTTTGATCAGTGATTTGTGCAGCATTGGCCACACTAGCTTCTTCTCTCGGTCAATGTTCAGTAAATAGTCATAGGTCTAGAAAAGTTTTGAAAGTTGAGCACTAATATATCACATCAGATCAACTTTCCTTACTTGTATAGTGATTGCTGCAACTTGAGTCCAGAATGAGAGTGTGGTGTCAGTAATTTGCCTAGTTGCAACTTTTATTAACTATTACCATCAACGTACTACAAGGCAGGGAAGGAAATGCAGATAGCAGTAGTTCAGCATATAATAAAACCTCTCCAAACGATATACCACAGTCAGACTCACAGCTGTGTAACACAAGTGTTCCAAGGCTGGTACAGTGGGGAGTGGCTCGCCATTCGTTGGAGATGCCATTGAGACAGTGGGGAAAGGAGGATCAACTTACGGACGTCTGACGTTTATGGGTATATAATGCCCGGAAGTTTTAATCTTCATTTGAGGTACTGAAGCAATAGCCTGAGAGTTCTGTTCTAAGCTTTGCTGGTAAAAAAAGGAAGAGCAAACACAGTACACTACTGATCATCTCTGATCAGGGAAGACTGGGGCGGCTGAACCCATGATGAGTGCCGAGAATATCTTTCAGTGCATACTTATGCTCATTGCTCTGTCCGTCCCTTCCTTCCATTATGTCTGATACGACTTCAATTATATATTATCAGAAACTCGTAAACGCAATATAGAGAGATTCGAAGACAAACATCACTTGCTGTCTAACACTTTTTAAGGCCTTACATTCTTATGATATTGGAACAGTGCTTTAGAGTTTGTAATGAAACTTCGGCCTCAGGAAGGCTTTTTATACTGTCTTCTATTATCAGTGATTTGGTAGTAGAAGACACTACGTAGCATGCGTGTGGACGTTTTGAATGAAACACGATTGCCTGCTCGACTGATAATGAAGTACAGTTGGTAGTCCAAAGGATTAATGCAGGCGACAGTCCTCTGTGCAACTTGGCATCAGCTTCCATACTTGAGTGTAGTATCCATTGCATTCGCAATCGATTGCGATTTATTGACTCACAGAAATTGTCTACGGAGTTGCTTTACGAATTTTTTTCACAATTCGTATTTCTATTTGAATTTATATAGAAAGGTCGGTCTGTCCGACAGAGTTCGATCATGGTGGTAGAACGCGATGTGTTGCATTCCATTTCCAATGATAGACGTGTGTTCCTCACGGCTCCTTTTTCGGACTAACAGTTCCTCTGTTACCGATTCATGATTGGCCACAGACTGAATGCACGTGATTTATAGACGCGAAACAGAACTCCATTTCTCATCAGAGAAACTGCTCTTGAACACCGACTCAGACGTCGTCACTGTTTCTGTCTCACAGACAAGTCTCAGACATCCCTAACAGCTAGGTCCAAGATAAGAGTTCAAATGATTTTCGGCTTAGGGACACGTTGGAGTGCGAAAGGAAAGGTGCAAAATTTGGAACACCCACGTCACGCAATAGCTGACATAAACGCACATGTAGAACTGCTTCGTGACGGGAGGCTCCCAGGGCTTGGGACTGTCCCTTGCCATTCTGCTGGTAAAGAAAGGCGCAAATGTCACAATAGTCGCGCGGAACGTGGAGAACTTGAAGAAAGCAATTGCAGAGTTGGAGGTAAGAGATATTGCTGATCTTTGGCTGAAGCTTGTCCTTGACGCAAGTGAAAATAGCGTCATCGACAGTCTTCTGAACAAACGTTTAGATATCATTCCTATTCGCTCAGCACATCCGCAGACTCTCATGCTGCACTTGATGCCGAATGTCGAGCACTTGTGCAGCAGAGCGATGGAGCAGTCTCGACCCCGGACGCGTTTTTTCTCTGTGCTGGCTCGTCTCGTCCAAGTTTCTTCGTTGAAAATACAGAAGAGCATCTAATACAGGGCATGGAACAAGCATACTGGGTACAGGCGTGGAGTGCACACGCTGCTGTGAAGAAACTCGTCCAAGAGCAACGGCCGGGAAAAATTGCTTTCGTCGGCTCAATAGTCTCGATTATGTCTTTCATTGGTTACGCACCGTACGCACCCGGAAAGCACGCACTGAAAGGACTTGCCGAATCACTCCGTTCTGAGTGCATTCTATATAACATCGATGTCCAGATTTTCTTTGCGCCAACGATGGACTCTCCTGGGCTCGCAGAGGAGCTGAAGACGAAGCCTCAACTCACCAAGAAATTCGAGGACTCTGACGTGACACTGAGCTGCGACAATGCCGCCGCAGTCCTGCTGAAAGGTACAATAAATGCAATGACCCTCTATCAATGCATTCATTTTTTTTCTCAGGTGTAGAACGAGGTGACCACCATATCACAGCAACGTTCAATACACAAATATTTGCTAATTCGAATCGTGGGGCTACTCCGATTATTAACCCGTTTATTGGTCCCATTTTGGACTGCATTGCTTGGGTGCGCAGTTATAAGTATATATTCTCATGCACCCGAAACGCTCATAATGGCTCGTACCTAGATTGCTGTTCCTTTCTGGAGACGTGGTTGTGACTCAGAAATTCGAAAGAATCGGGAGGAGCATTGTAATTATCTTAAGACAGTCGGGTTCCTACCTGACTCGAGGAAGGTGGACTAATTTCAAGTCCGAAAATTCCTTCCAGAGTTCTCTCTTCGACTCGGAGTCTGACACTATGCTAAGATACTATTTGCTGTTGTTAGTAAATTAATGTGAATATTATGTGCCTGTACTCAGCTAAGCAAAGCTTTTCAGAAGTGAAAATCTCTTTACTAGTAACGCTTCTTGATGTACAGGCACAAACGTATTCACAACATAATAGGAGGATAAAAAGGATAGCAACACAACTTCATATTACCTTCGTTATGATTGTGGCACAATTCTTACATTCACTTACTAACGGCGAATATTCTTATAATAGAGTTATTGAAAATTAGGGATTTCTCATTTCGACCCCTGCAGTGACCATTGCATCTTTTCCGTGGAAAAAGAACTGTGTCTCTGATATACCTTCCATATGACTCTGGGGTTGAATAAGTTTTTAGTCCCGCTTTGGACAAGCAATCGGTGAATACTAAGCAACTTCATGATTTTTGACAACAGCTTGTTTGAATTGAGCACGTGATATTTCGCAGCGCGTTCTAAAATGCGAAAAAAAAACCCTGTATCAGATCAGTGTCCTCGGTACGAACTCTTATCATCGGGATACTTACTACACATCCTGACTTTCCCTGTTTTTTTTTTTTTTCGGATAAGTGAAGAAAATGTTAGGTTTTCGAGCACATTGGAATACAAAGGGAAAGGTGCGAAGTATAATGGGTTTGGGTATGGTAATAATACACCTGACATAAGCACTCGAGTCGAGTAGAACTGCTTCGTGACCGGCGGCTCCCAGGGCTTGGGACTATCCCTTGCCGTTTTGTTGGCAAAAAAAGGTGCAAATGTCACGATAGTCGCGCGGAACGTGGAAAATTTGAAGAAAGCAATCGCAGAGCTAGAGGTGAGAGATATTGCTTATCTTTGGCTGAAGCTTGAGCTGAACGCAAATGCAAATAGCGCAATCGGCAGTCTTCTGAACAGACGTTTAGATATCATTCTTATTCGCTTAGCAAATCCGCGGAGTCCCATGCAGCCCTTGAGGCTGAATGCAAGATACTTTCTCAGCAGAGCGGCGGAGCAATAACTGCCCCAGATGCGTTCTTCCTCTGTGCAGGCTCATCTCGGCCAAGTTTCTTCATTGAGAACACGGAAGAACACCTAATACAAGGCATGGAACAAGCATATTGGGTACAGGCGTGGAGTGCACATGCCGCCGTGAAGAAGCTCGTCCAAGAGCAGCGGCCTGGAAAAATTGTCTTCGTCGGCTCAACAGTCTCGCTTACGTCTTTCATTGGTTACGCGCCGTATGCACCTGGAAAGCACGCACTTAAAGGACTAGCCGAATCACTCCGTTCTGAGTGCGTTCTTTATAACATTGACATTCAAATATTCTTTGCGCCCACGATGGACTCTCCTGGACTCGTAGAGGAGCTGAAGACGAAACCTCAGCTCACCAAGACATTCGAGGATTCCGACGTGATGTTGAGCTGCGATAAGGCTGCTACAGTAATGTTAAAAGGTATTTTAAACTGGGATGTTTTTCTGCGCTTGCGCTAAAATTATTCTTTAGGCATAGAGACGGGTGATCATCATATCACAGCAACGTTTAACTCGCAAGCTCTCGCCAATGGGAATCGTGGCGCTGCTCCAATAACCAACCCGTTGATTGGTCCTATTCTGGACTGTATTGCCTGGGTATGTAATCCCGAGCATGTACTCCAGAGGCTGACATTTATTACCGCCCAGATTGCTGTTCCCTTCTGGAGACGTGGGTGCGACTCAGAGATTCGAAAGAATCGCAATGAACATCGAAATTATCTCAAGACAGTTGGGTTCCTACTGGACTCGAAGAAAGTCGATTGAGGCCGTTTCTGGCTTTCCTTTTGATATTTCCTTTGGATACCTTCTCGGACGAGCGAGACCGTGATGCCGTTATTCATTACTAATGTATCAACGGAATGACACGTGTACAATTGAGACGTGCATAATTATGTGCATATGTACACCGTCTCTTTGTCACTTTTTGTCACCTCAATCGATTTGTTATTTGGCTGAGGTGATCTCTGCCTTTCGAAAGGCCTCTCAACGAGTATGAACATTATATAAACCTATAGGTAAAGGACACAAGACTCATGCACTAGAATGAGGTGGTGCAAGATTTTACTAGATGGCGGGCTCTACTACAGTTTGACCATGCTTGGTGCGACATTGAATTCTTGAAGAAAGACGCGATACTAGGCAAAACCAGGAAAGATGTCCGCACCCAGAATTCAAACGCATAAATGCCACCCAATATGCTTGCTCTTCTGCTGGATATCATAGACGGGCTAAATGGATGTTCAAAGATTTGCCGTCAATTTGGGCTTGTCTCTGGACTGCAACCCAGTCTAATAACTGCTTGATGAAGTCTACCAACTTTACGACGCCATTTCAGTACTACTAAAGGCGATACAAAGAGAAGACGAACCTCGGACTCAGTGTTTTCTGCATGCACAATCACCCTAATTCTCTCTTGTCCCTTGGGAACGGCGGGGTGTGGTATAGCATAGCATGCATATCCCAAAGATTGTATATGTTTCGCAAGACTGAGCGGCATTGGTGTTAATATGGGGAAGATAGGCGTGCGAATCCCTTCCGGATATCCCTCTGGAACATTCCTCGGCGGAAGACTGATAAACTTCGCATCCACCATTTTCACTGCTTCGCGAAGGTGCGATTCGAAGAAGCGGCAGAGTTCCTGCAAACGGTCCCTTCTCTGTATTTCAGAAGATTAGCAAGTCGAATTTTAGCTGGGAAAAGGGTACATACGTCTTGACCTTTCTGGTTCATGACATAGTCAAAGGAAGCATTTAGGGCTGCTATATGGGTACGAGGTAAGGCTGTAGTGTATATGAACGGCCTAGCATAATTCGTTATATAGCTCTTCACGAGTACAGAAGTGAGGAGAACGGCTGAGAGGAATTCTGTGAGAAGTCATTGGACAAGAATTGTTTTGGACAAACGTACCACCGGAAAATCCGCGAGCCTTTCCGAATGTGTGCAGAACGGAATGAACGCGATGACCAAGCCCTAGCATGGAGACGATTCCTCGCCCGCCCTCGCCATAGAGACCAGTTCCGTGAGCTTCGTCAACAACAATATGTGAACAGTTCTTAGGAATGAGCTCATCGATCGAATTCAGCATCTCAGGCAGCGGCGCAAGGTCTCCGTCCATGCTGTACAGACTTTCCACGGCAAAGAACGCAGTTCCTTTCCCTTGCGCTATGTTTGGGTGCTGTTGGAGAACTACGCAAAGGGTCTGTTTGAGAGATAGCACCGAGTTATGGGAAAACGGGTATAGAGCATCTTTAGCTCGCGAGACAGACATTCCATCCCTCGCAGAGGCATGAACAAGTTCGTCAAAGATTATGGCATCCCCTGCTTGTGGCAGGGAACTGAAAAATGCTGTGTTGGCATCGTAGCCAGAATTGAAGAGAAGTGCTGCTTCGGTGCTGAAGATCTCCTTCATTCGGAGTTCGAATTGCACATGTGCTAGGGGGTTTCCACCCAAAAGACGAGATCCTCCTGCTCCGAGCGTGGCAGATTCTTGTGCGAGCTTCTCTAGAAACGATCTGCTCAGCTCAGGGTCGGAGGTAATCGACAAGTAGTCATTGGAGAAGAGGTCGGGTGCTGCGGTAGGCGTAGACTTCGCGAGGTCAAACAATGGAGTGCCACGATCCATACGTCCATCCAGAGCTTGTCGTAGGGCATTATCGAGCGGCGAATCCATGGAGCGTAGCAAGGATGCAGAACAGAATTCTGCAGGGATCTACTCATTTTTATGCCCTCTATTTTTCGTTTGTGTGCTGAGCACCTAGGTCTCTTCGAGCCTTCTGTTCCATTACCCAGGATTGAGACGCATCACTATTTCTCGCGAAAAGCAGACCACTGGTTAATGAGGGTTAGAAACGGAATTTCTAGCCAAGAACAGAACAATGTGAGTAATGTTGTGCGGGCTTCCGACGCCGTGGATTCTCAACGTGTTTACGTGTGTCTGGCAGCTGGAAAACAAGTGGACCGCATTCAACTTTCTCAAATAGGAATATTTATCCTGTCCCGTTTCGGCTGAACTTTGGTTAATGCCTCATTGAGTGATAATTAATATTTTTTTCCATTCAATAGAAGGCAGAATACTGCATCCAAGGGGTATCTTTATCTTCCGAGATTGTTCTGCGCGCAAGATCTTTCGATTAAAAATAGGCATGGTTTTTGTATTAGCACTGCCCTCAAATGCTAACCTCATATGCAGGGCAGGGGAAATCGGAACAAGTTCAAGTTCGTAAGCAGAATTGGATCAATATCTGGACCCAGGCTGTACGTTACAGATGGATGCAAAGCATTCAAGCATGGAAAATGAAATCGATGTGTGATTATTCATGAGCGATCCTTTGGTGAAGATTGTGGCATAGCTACATTACTATTCATTTGTTTAAACAGCTTTTTAATACAACTTTTCAATACGTTTGGTATAGAATATAGAGTTAGAGTCCGGGTCAATTCTTTTACACGAATGCAGCAACCATGAATGGGCGGTATCAGTACCATAAAATATAGTTGTTTGGGTTATCGGCAAGTAGATCAAGCACTCGCATAATGGAAGTCTTCTAAACGGACACACTTCTTTGGCTCCCCACCCTTCTCCATCGGGCTCCGAGACGAATCAAACGAGTTTGTTGAGTTGACCTGGATTCTGAGCGTCGATAGTTCGTGAGTCATATTCCTGGCCGGTATCCGCGACACAACGTTGAAGTGCATAGTTGACAAAGTGGCTTCCCGGCTCGCGATATCGTGCTGCGTCAGCTGTAATACAACCAGAACGATGATGACAACAGGATAGATGCCCTATACGAAAAAAATTTGAGTCATGAAGCCAGCGGGAAGGAAACTAGTTTCAATATAATTTACCGTTAGATGCGCTAGCATATCCGCAACGACATAGACGCCGTTACTATCTAGCAGAAATAGCACCAGGATAACGGCAAGGACGAGGATATAGAGAAACCCAGACTCGATAAGCAGCAACATTGCGATTCTGAATCTACCGCTTTCAAAAATGCGCGACCCGTTTTTCTCCAAGGCTTTCATACTTTGGCGATGCCGCCTTATACGGTAACTGTCAAAAGGCTGCTACTTGGACTATTTATACTATGAAGCACGCACCACGTTTTATACGAGATAACTGCAACCGCGTACAGGTTTGTCGCAATAGTGAAGGCAAAGAAGGGAACGAGCCAGTCAAATATGTTCTGGCTGAAGATTTCGTGCCCGCTTGGTTCGTTTGAGAAGGCGATTGTTAGTCCAATGGATGAGGCTAAATGGCATCTCGTGAGTCATTATCAGTTGGATTGCGCAAGTACCCACCAGTCCCACCTAGGATAAAAAGAACAGGAATTATGAGTACTTTGCACCCGCGACCTGCTAAAATCCATGCACGCCAGGCTACAATGCAATCGCCTATCAGACACTGGATAGCGTTTTGTGAGTAAGCATTCTTCAAACACTATCCAAGTACAGCACTCATACGTTTATTGTTTCCATTGCAATCTGAGCATACACCAGGGGGCTACCAGGGTCATTCAAGACAGTAAGTCGTCCGGTGGCAGCATCTTGCTTGAAGAAAGCGATCAAGTTTTGCCTCAGAGACAGAGCCAAATGTGTCGTCGAAAGCGAATACATTATCACAGTTAAAATTGTCATAATCCTGTGAGTTACCGTGGATCGTCGTCCTCTGCGTCTCCTGAAAGCAGTGGAAATTCAATCGCGTCATCGCCAGTACCCGCTTAAACTAACTTACAGAATGAGGTACATCGCCGCGCAGAATAGCACGGTAAACACTCCTAGGTATTGTTAGATCTATGCTACCCTCATCCCGTAAGTGTTGAACTGACCATGTAATACAGCCTCGCAGAACAAGGCTAGAAAATATGCCTCAGGGAGGGAAATTGTGGAGACCGACATTGTCATTATCGGGGAAAGCGGGATAAGGGAGCATAGCTTGGGTACAAAAGACTTGCGACTGTGACTCTCGGACAGAAGGAGGAGACCAGGAACCGATACTCGCGGGATTTCCTATGAGCTTCCTAATCACAGAAAACTGCATTAGCAGCACAGAACTCGAAGAACCGGGTTCGTCGTAATGGTAGACAGGTAACGTAGCATGACACAGAACCACCATCTCGCTTCTTATTTTCGGATTTTTTTCCTTCCGAACGTAGACTACCGGAATTTCCCACGGTCCACGTAATATCGTAAGTAGCTTGCAAATGATTGCATTCTAAATTTCAATTCCGTTATATATTGCCTTCCAGAAAAGAGTAAGCCGGTCCTCATCTCTGATACGTTCTGCTAGAAGATGACTTCCAAGCAGGTCTCTGGTATCTATGTCCGCCCCGTACAGCCGACGGAATATCAGGAAGCAGCGCGCGTCTTAACACGTGCCTTCGCTCGGGATCCTGCAATGAACTGGTATGGTTGTGTTAAGAAAGCAGTACCTCGTTACGATTCAAAGGAACCGCGTGCACTACGCACGCTGAAGCGGCTCTATGACTTTCAACTTGCGTTGCTCAAAGCAACTGTCCTCCTCGGAGGACTGGTAATTGTGGCAGTTGTTCCATTGGACACCACTTTGGAGGGTAAAGACCAGAAAAAGCAAGAGAAAATTGCTGGTGTCGTACTTTGGCTAAAGCCCGGCCAAACCCTTGATATCGGCCTGTGCACCCTCTTACGATCTGGATTCCATAAGGTACTCCTCGGATGGGGTATTGAAGGCATGAAGGTATGGTGCGACTTTGTCAATCACTGTCTTACCTTACAAATTTGATTCTGCTAGAGGTTGACAGTAGAGTTCTCGCCAGCAGTAGAACATGCGCTGGAGAAAACATTCAAGGCCAGACAGTTAGATAGGCTGGATTCATGGCACCTTCTTACGATCGTCGTTGACCCTGAGCATGAAGGAAATGGTGCGAAATGTCTCACATAAACCGTTTCAACTTCGACTGAGAATTGGGATGCGTTGGCAACAAGGGCTTTGCTCGCTTATGATGAAGGATGGTTTCGCCCGAACTGCACCAAAACCTGTCCACCTCGAAGCTACAACAAGTAAATCGCGCGACATTTACGCCAGATATGGCTTTGAGGTCAGTTCAGTGTGTTTTTTCCATGGACCTGCTTACTAGCGAAATGATATCCATTCCCCAGATAGATGAGGAACACCGATACGGTAAAGGCAAGGTTGATTCTAACGGATTAAAAGCGAGAGGAGACGCTGCAACTGGATATCCGGAATGGATTATGACGAAGGCAAGTACCTTCCATTACTTTTCATTTCATTTCAGAAAGTATAGGCGAATGATTACCTTGCTAATTCAATACCACAGTGGTCATACTGAATCACGTCAAAAGGAAGAGCACTTACATTATACCTGGAATGTCATCCTTGCATGAGATCACCGTATGTTGACTCTGGCGCATTCGTCACGATTGAGTTCCTGTCATTCGCATAATTCTTGTACAGGCTTCGTCCGCTGTTTGAGTGAGATATCTGCGGCCTTAAGGCCAAGGTAGAAGGCGAACGTCCACCTAATCTGGAAGAGGTTAAAAATGTCTCTTGTCAATATCTGAGAAACATTCCACACTGTATTTATTGTCCCAAACTTTTGAATGTAAAAATACCGTTAATTAGTGATAGTGGCAATTGAAAATCACAGAGGTCGAATGCCGATCTGTGCTGGCTTTCCTATCACATTAGAAACGGGGCTCCGTCCAATCGAACCTTTAACAACGGACCTCGGATAAGTATGCTTGAGTAACATACAGATAGAAAGCATTCGGACGTAAAATCCCAAGAATATAGAGGTACGAGAACTGCATACTGTCGGCGTGTATCAGCATAGGAACAAAGTTGAGCAATGACCTGGATGAAATGACGCGCTGCGACGTAACGGACGAAGCTAGGATGCGGGGAAGCAAGATCTGTCCCTTTTCCGTGAGATAAATCCATATGGCACGAGGCACGAAATCCAGAGAAACGAGTCTTCCTGTCGTCCTACCATATTCTCGTCGTGGCGCTCCAAGTATGCTAAACAGAACATATGTTATACAAATATGTTGCCAGCGCACCTTGAGCTTCTTCCGATACTTACGGACCCAGCCACCTTCTAGTTCGCCCTGCAAATGGCTTCATTATCTGGACGGCCTTCCGTTTAGTGAGAGCGTAAAAATATCTGGAGACGGCGGCCGTGGCTATTAATTACTACCACTTAAATTTACGCATTCTCATTTATCCATCCACGAACTTGACCTGTTTCCGTATCCACTGCACTGCCCTATTTTCGTTCTAGCGGTCCAGTCGCGAAAGCATGTAGCAACAACGTCGTAATTCTCGAATTCTCGCTGTCTTGTGAACTGTCTTGTGAAAAAAGGATGCAGATAAGCCAAGAATGCTGCCAAGGTTAGCCAGTCCGTTCCATTTGAACGTGGTGGGCCATAAAAAACAGTTAGTAAGTTACGTCCACCAAACAACGGACCTGTGAGACCATATTACATAATCTCGTACTGTGATTCTAATTTCTGGTAGATCGTGAATTAAAAGACAAATTGTACAACGTGAGGACTGGTGAGGAGTGGAACTACAGGATATCGTATTACGCATAGAAGCGACTAGAAAAATCCAACACAAGGGAGGGCAGGTAATAGGCAAACAAGTAAGCCAACCACAAACTTTACAGAGCGAGCCGCATAGATTCAAATAGTCAGTACTAGTGATCTTAACGTCACCGTCTGCAGCGTTGTAGATAAGCAGGCCCTCTCATAAAGCATAAAGCACAACCCACGATAGGAAGGACACTTCTTGTTGTCTTGCCGATGAGTGCTTCGCACTCTTCAATAGCGTTCTGGAGACTGGAATGGTCCGTGTCCGAACATCCGTACTTCTACAGCGTCCGTCGCGCGTCGCCCGCTGTCTTTCAAAACGTCTTAATCCGGTTGATGATTTCTCGTACCAACAGTTCACCCACCAGCTCCGCATAAATTTTGATATACAGCCTGACGACTACGTCACTATCAGTGTGAGGTGTTTCCGTCAAGTGGAGGCCAGGAGTAGGATTGAACGGCAAGACTACCAAGTCCCAGCGTTATGCGCTTCCAAAAACCGTGTGCACATTCATTTGCTTGCTTAGGTGCTTAGGGTGTCAATTAGAAAGCTTTCACTTGTCTAATATTAGGGCGTAGTCGCATATTCCCTTTTGAGGCATTCGCTTGCCTATAATATCCTTGAAAGGATACTCTGAAACTGAACATATGGTGCACGAAATCGTCTTCACATCAGTCGAAAGCCTTGCAAAGGTAGAAATTTATGATGGCTACGTCGGAGAAAAACCCCACATGCTCGCGAAAGACGAGCAGCTGCTGTCTAAATGGGCGTCTACCTTTGAAATTACGTCAGCCGTAACATCCACACTCTGACTATCGACTGCATGGAACGGACTGACCTACAAGGACAGGCCCAGGTTGTGCCTCTCGCATATTGCACTGTGGCAATAATCCTATCACAGTAAGGCAATACACGTGTTCTAGCATGCTTTCGTTAGCCTCGTCTGTATAAACATTCATGTCTTGTAACACGAGAAGTTGTGTCAACAAATTCATGTCAGGCAATTTGCAGCTTGGATTGTAATTAGATGGGATGACGGCATCTTCGGGAACGTGAGGTGGCAGTCGCTCGTCGAGCGGAATTGAATAGACTCCTTCCTCGACGAAGGCAAGTACATTCTTCGCATGAGTCCGCCAGACAACAGGCTTATGAGCAAGGAAGCACAGTGGAAGAATATAGACTACAAACAGGGTCTTTCTTAAAGTTGCAGTCAACAGGAACAAAGTAGGGCGGTGCGAATGGGTGTACCAATACTGGGTCCACCTGATACTATTGTACCATCCACCTCTGCTGGCCGTCCTGCGTTGGTCTTGAAGGGGTTGTACTGTGAATCCAAGTCAACATCCACGACTACACCTGAAGTCTCATTTGCCTTCAGACTCTAAGTGGATTCGATTGTCTGTCTCATCCGACAATGTGTGTCCCAGATGGAACTTGAAGAAAGCCGCGTTACGACCCCATTTCAACACATTCGTATGTTTTCGGACTTTGACATCCTTCATCTTGTACTCGTCGCGCCAAACAGGCTCCTTGTGGAACAGCATGCGTTCTCCTTGGTCCGTCCACGCAAGGTCATAGAGTGCAGCCAAGCTACTTTCTGGAACTTTTCAATTGGGATCAGGTGCGATGCGCTCTACGTGTTCGAACTGTTCGGCATGACTGAGGCTGGAGGGAGTGGGCACCTGCCTCTTTTTCCCACGGTCCATTTTACCCTGCCGCCTCGGCGACCGATAATGATGCTTCCCCGACTGCAAATTTGTTCGTTCCGCATATGGCTTGTGGATTTCTTACTGCAGGATTCCGATTTCCTCTCCTTAAGACAAATTAGCGGAAACATTTTCACAGTGCGGTGATGCGGTAGGTAGCCCGGCCTCTAAGTAGTCGTACGGATGACGTAAGCATATGACGGTTGCTCACGTTTCCTCTTTCCTCTAATCCGAATCGATCCCAACAACTTCTCATCATAACTCTTTAGACTAGTTCGATGTCCGACAGATCATTGCGGCCGCAACATGCAAATAGCTTCAAGGCTGCATGGTGATGATACTAATACTGGATAGACTCGAGGGTGAAGCCTCAGACATGTACATTCTTGATATCAAATGGTCAAAGCACGCCGCGACCTCTGAGCAGCAAGTTTTCGTATGTCCTGCAGCTGAGCATGTGTGGAAGAGAAAAAAGCTTCAGTCGGGCATCAAGATTTACCGTCCGGACTTCCGAGGGATCGACGTGTTGAATGGAAGTGGACTCTAGTGTCTCAAGTTTCTCGCTAGAGCGCCACGAATCGGAGAGGAACTCCGGCCATGGGTCCAGCAATCTTAACGACGACGACGGCGACGACGACTCTAAGGAGTGACAAGGCGGATAATGAACCAAGGAACACGACGATTATCTTCTCGTTCCAACTCTGGATTAACGAAACCGACCGCCTCAAGCAGAAAATCCAGCCAAAGTGATAAAGGTATAGTAAACTCTTTAATGTTTTCCGTGGAGAACTCCCTCTGACTGTGTGCATTCCAGTGTACTATCGTCTCTGTGAGATGCAGCCTTTCAGTTTTTACCGGCCTTACCTGATGTAGCCGGATATATAGTGACCTACAATGCGCCCTACAACTCGTCCTTCCCATTAGACACAGACGACGACTCTCTTTCCTTCATTCACGCCAATCGAATTCCTTCACCACGCCTAGCATCAGATTACACCAAATACATCTGCAAACGGGAAGGCATCCACCATACACGCGCAAAATTGTACACTTCCTCCGTCTCTCGTTCCGTATATTCGCATTCTCCGCATGGTAGGAAGACTCTCCCAGACGATCCAGCATTCAGGCTAGCCGATCCTGGAGCACCGTTGCGTCTTCATTCCCTCGGTTGCGGTTCTTCCCGCGAGAAACCACTCGTGTTGTACCTCGACCTCGACCCAAGTATGGACCGCACGCATGCAGCTCTACCTATCAGTAGACTCGAACGAGGGGGACGTCGCGTTGCGAAGATCGTACGAAGAGCTGCCGATGCAGTTCAGTCGTTTTTGTGTGCGTGCTTTGGTTCGCTGCAGAAGGTACCGAAAGGCATGGAGTAATTGCGTCACCCAACTGTACCATTACTTCTGCATCTAGGTTGGTCCTGGAACTCGTCAGCAAGAAGCTATGTCGATCTAAGGAACTCAGGTTGCCCCCCCTTCCATTTGCTATGGAGAAGTCATCTCGTGACCACAATAGGGACTTGTATCACCTCATGGATTTTGTTCTGTGTTTCTCTCCTTAATGCCACTTCTTATAGAACACGAAGGTCGGAATGTTAAAACACTGCATTTGAGTTGAGTCACCCACTTCCACCTTCGTCTTATCTACTGCAGCTTGCAACGTAGCGAAAGGATTCAGAGCTTAGGACAGCAACGAAGAAGGGAAAGAGGAAAGATGAATGTCAGGATAGAGACAAAGTCCGCTTTTCTAAGTTGCAACACTTCCGGTCACCTTTTCAGGTCCATTTTACATACATATGTCATGCTATTTGACAATAGAATCTCCTTAACAAAATAAGATACCTACAGCCTCGAAGTCTTCGGACCAGACGTCTCAACCACCTCTTTAAGCCTCCGTTCCGCCTCTTTCCACTCAACATTCGGCAACGCACTCCACTGAATCTCCCACTTCTTATATATCTCTCGTGTCAATTTCCCCAACTCTACGTCCGAGCCGGCACGAATGAGTGCTTCGTCGATGTCATCCGGGAGATTATTGAACTCGTATAAGAACCCCGACGTACGTGAGCGCTCGACGATGTGATTTCCGAATGGTCGACGAACGGCGTCGTAGACGCGTAGTACTGAAGCGAGATTTGATTTGTTTACTCCTGGTTGGGCAAGGAGTTTTCCGAGAATGAATGAATCCTAGGTGTCAAGACATTTGGTATTGAAAATTGTCATCGCGATAGGTATGGCTCACCTCGATAGCCTGACCGGCTCCTGCGCCCAGATGAGTAGTCATGGCGTGAGCCTGCAGGGTAGACTTGAGGGGACTTGCACCTGATAAACGGAAATACCCACCGCGTCTCCCAATATTGCGACTCGACCGTCCACGTATGTTGGCAACCCACGTATATGGCTGATTGCCCATCGCTGTACCTTCTCGGAACTCTTAATGTATATCCAATAATTGAGTACAGAACGATTATACAATGCCCAACAGAACATTTAACACATACGTCAAGGAGGGAATAGACTTCCGGCTCCCAACCCTTATATTGATCTAGCATCTCTTGCTTCGTCACGTCGACCACAGCGGGGCCGTCGAGTTGTTTTCCCTCTCCACTCGGGACAGTAACAAAAGGGACGAGATTTACGAGCCTTCCTTGAGATATCGGATAGGAGACGACATGCTTTACGAGAATGATCAGATCGGGAATCATACGGATACAATGGAATTAACGAACTTTGTCCTTTCCGCAATACTAGTTCACATTTCAGTATTCGACCTCATTTATGAAGTACGAACGACGACGTACCATCATCGGAAGTGAAGCAGCGCGATGGCCAGGCGCCACTTTCAATAACATGTTCGTATCCACCAACGCACGATAAGCGTAAGTTCCTGACCATTCGGCTTGCACAAAACACTTCAACTGGGCTTTCTTGTCTTCTTCCTTCGCTCTATCCGCTAATGATGTGTACATTTTCGCGCGTGTCGCGGATTTGATACCATCCGCTCCTACTAACATATCCGATTCAAAGGACGTACCATCCGCAAAGTAGAGAATCACGGAATTACTCTTTGTGGAGTACGATGTAAGCCGTTTGTTGAAGTGTGCGTGAAACATTGACGGCGGAGGTAAATTGTCCGTGAGGACTTTCAACATGTCGGCACGGTGGAGGGTAATTGATCCGTCTACTCCGTTCGCACGTCATGAGTATCTGGACTTGTAGTCCAGCTTTATACTTACAAGGTACGATCATACGATTGAAATTGAAGCCCTCTGTTGGCTGGTCGCTTTTCCTGTAACAAAAACCGGGTTCTTTGGGAGAATCAATATATAGCAAGTTAATGAACTTGTGCGACTTACTTATCTCATCTACAGGCGGCTCTAACGCCAATTTCCCCAGAGTTTCATCAAGACCGAGTTCCTGCATGATGAACCACGTCCGTTTCCACACCGAAATGCCTGCACCGATTTCCGTGAACTGAGGTAGCCCTTCGAACAAATCGATTTCGACGTCCTTGCAGTACTTGCCAATAACGACAGCGAGAGAAAGCCCACCGATTCCCCCACCACTTAGTGAGAAAAATTGAGCAAACCAATACCTAAAAAGTGCTAACACAGAACGTACCAAATGGCTATGCGAAATCTGGGATGTCCTTCCATGTAGACGATAGACCTCGTAATAGCAGGTAAAGAGAGAGCGAGGCAGGTTGCGAGCTCAGTAGGACAAGACACCGACTCATCGCTATCTATGTATGTGCTAAGCAAGAAGGAGGTAGCTTCGCATGACGAAGAGGCACGGATTGAATATGCGTTTTCCCATCAAGGCTAAAGATATCTTCCCCATTTATCGAAAAAAAAGTGAACATGCTCTGGAGCCGGAGGTTTACACGGACGTCGTCAGTATGAGAATTTCGGTGCATTGAAGAGCATAAATTGTCACCCAAGAATATAGAAAGAGGTGAAGGCAACTGCATTCCGTTGGCACAGGTAGTAGAGGAATCTTGAAACTTTGGCAGAGCAGCGAGAAGTTAGAACTCAGAGCTGCAATTGGTCAATTACGTAAGGAATTTAGTCATCTGTTAACAAACTCCACGTAGTTGTAATCGGTAGAAGGCCGAGATGACGGTGTCATGAGACGTTGCATCGAAATGTAATGAATAAGATGGACGATGAGGGGGCTCCTGATAACATTGCTATTTACTGGTGCTCTCTTGAGTTTGATCTATATATGCTGGGCGAAATGAATAGGAGTCGACAATTTTGGATAGTTGCCAAATCCGGAAAAGAACTTCATAAATCTGTTTTCGCCCTGTTTATTTTTCCATGATCACCTCATTCTTTATAGACAGTAACGGCTCTTATAATGGCACTTACAGCTTTCTGACTGCGGTGACCTTCATGAGGATCTACAATTCTGCGAATCAACCACGGGTCCATGCATCAAGTTTCAGGTATGTTCCTAGTATAGGTGACAAAGTAGAGCCTTAACGTCCTCTTCTTCAGAAGCCTTCAAGTCCAGGCGGCCGAACTTGTCTTGAAAAATCCAAGAAGGCTTGGATAAAACGAGTAACACCGGTTTACTCCTCGATAACTCCCCTTTGCTTCTTCGCTCCCTCTCTTGATCTTTTCGGGGGGTGTTCATGCCGTAATCTTCCACGTCGGCAGCCCGAACATAATCCTATCAAAGCCGACTTGGAGACGTTTCTCTAATGTTTCGACAGATACTCAGGTGCACAAGAAGATCAAGTAGGTGTGGAACATTTTTGCAGCAAACGTATATTATTTGAGTGTGAACCGCTTATTGGGCTACTCTAGTCGGTTGCTTTTTGCCATCTTATTGGCAGGTGGATCTCGAAGCTGCCTTGTGGAGAAACTCATCATCCAAGTCACTTATGGCACCGGTCACTCGTGGCTTCTTCCGCGGACGTGCATAGCACCTTTGTCATATCTCTTATTCGAAGAGCACGTTTCGTCATACCCCCGGGAGATAACCGTATATCTTATGCTCTTCACTATACAGATTTGATGCTAATCATGTTGAATTGGTAAAGAAGGACTGCACGAACATGTTCCTAAGTGCTGAGAAGCACTCCCAGAAATACCTTCAGCTCATGTCGTGAGAGATTTACATCAGAGCAGCTGATGCAAAACCACTTCGTAGAGTCTTCTGCGGTTGCCGAACCTCCGAAAACTCTTCATTTCGCACTACTCTCGCAGTTTACATGAGCTTTGCTGACACCGGGAGGAAATAGGAAGGCTCAAGTATCAATGCCCGAGATGCAAGTGGGAAGGCATATAAGAGCCAAAGGACACCATGTACTAACTTACGAATAATATCAACAATGATATCGTACTCTGAAGTCGTCTCTCCTATCCTCGTTGCACTAGCAGTATGGCTTTGCTTGAGGTTCTTCCTCGCTAAATCCCCACTCTCGAACATACCGGGCCCTCGTAACGCATCATTGATATCAGGTACGAATGCCAAATATTTAAATAACCGTACACGGCCTAGTCCCTGACATTTTCACCAGGAAACTTCAAGCAACTGCTTAATCCGAATAGCTGGGGCTTCCATCGAGAGCTCAGGGATGCGTACGGAGGCGGAGGCGTTCGCAAGCTACATGGGTTGCTCGGAGTGCGTCTCATCGACCGTTGATTGATTAACCAAAATTAGCTAACGTCTCCGCAGAGCGAACAACTTTATGTTTTCGACCCTCTTGCGTTGCATCACATCTTGGTCAAGGATCAGAGTGTCTTTGACGAGACGCAGGCCTTCCTGGTGTATGCCGTCGAGTGATCGCTGCAAAAACTACAGCTGATAGAGCCTCTGCAGGAATAACAAGGTCATCTTTGGCAATAGCCTGCTGTCGAGCTTTGGTATACTCTATCTCTTCCTCATAGGTGATCCGGAAATTAATTAATAGTATACAGGTGAGGAACATAGGAAACAACGGAAGATGCTCAATCCTGTATTTTCCACCAAGCACATGCGCGAAATGCTTCCCATGCTGTATCCAATCGCATATGCAGTGAGTATATCTATTGAATTCGTTACATTTCCCTACAAAGAGTCTCATGCACTTCTCGTAACAGTTACGAGAGAGAGTTGCAAATGACGTCCGGAGCGCAACTGGGTACGTTGACGTTATGGGTTGGATGTCTCGTGCTGCACTGGAGTATATCGGCCAAGGTGGCTTGGGACATTCCTTCGCATCACTTGATGAAAAGAAGAAGATAGACCCCTATAGTGATGCATTGAAGATGGCCTTGTGAGTGTTTCATAGGTCCAGTCCCACGTTCATAATGTTCCTTTTCAACCACTACGAGTCGGTCGGTCGTTGTTTCCTCGACATCAATTCCCATTCGCCGATTTCAGAATTTTGTTATTCGTAAATGACTTTTCACGCTGACTAATGGTTTTAAAGCCCTCTACTTCTAAGAACCGCATTTCTTCGGGAATTCACGCCTTGGTTGGTCAGGTTTGGCTCCCCAGGGCTCAGACGACGTATCCTGGAGATGATTCCGGCTAGTCTGGTCAAGGATCTCGTCAGCGTAGCTGATACCCTTGAGGAATCGTCTGAAGATATTTTACGCAAAAAGCGTCAAGCGATTGAAAAAGGAGATGAGGCAGTCCTTACCCAGGTCGGAAAAGGAAAAGATATTATGAGCATTCTCCGTAAGCCTAAAAAGGTTTTTGAACAAATGCACAAGCTGACTCAGCATATAGTCAAAGCGAATTCCGAAGACAGCATCGATGAGAAAGAGCTGCTTGGTCACATGAAGTAAGTAGATGTCTCTTAAAAATAGCCCGGTGGACTCTGCTCACATTCCTGTTAAATATAGTACATTCATTCTCGCGGGACATGATACAACGACAAATGCCATCAGCCGTATCATCGACTGCCTAGCTCATAATCAGGATTACCAATCCAGACTTCGCGAAGAACTCACTGAAGCGTACCAAAAACAAGGCGAGCTCGACTATGACGCCTTGCAAGCGCTTCCGGTACTCGACGCCGTCTGCAGAGAGACGCTTCGCGTACACTGTCCAGCGCTAATGATCAATCGTGTGTAAGTCGCCATTTATGAACCTAACTTGACTTTTTTAAATGAGAACCTTATAGAGCGACGAAGGACGTCATACTGCCGCTCATGTGGCCCATTAAAGCAAAAGACGGAAAGAGTGAAATCAGGGAAATATTTGTCCCGAAGGGAACCGAGGTGTATGCATCTATTCTCAACGCCAATACTAGCAAAGAAATCTGGGGTGACGACGCAGACCAATGGAAACCATCACGCTGGTTGAACCCTTTGCCAGAGAGTGTCGCGAATGCGAAACTTCCCGGAGTATATTCCCAAATGTGAGTTGTCAGACGTGTCGACTACCATGCTCACACTTGTCTAATGAACCATGCTTTTCTAGGATGACCTTTGCTGGTGGTTCAAGGGCGTGCATGTACGTTCTTCAAATCCGTTTGCTGTACATTCCTAACTGTACTATACATTACAGCGGGTTCAAGTTTTCTGAGATGGAGATGAGTAAGTCAATTAGGCGCAAATAACATCAGGATGACTAACTAAGTCTCGCTATCTCAGAAATGGTTCTGTCCGTACTTATCAGAAACTTCGTTTTCGAGCCTGGTCCTGCCGTGCGCTGGGAGTTCGGGCTGATAGCAATGCCGTTCCTCGAGTCGTCTACGGATGGTGCTCCTAAGCTTCCTTTGAAGGTGTCTTTTGCAAACTAAATTGTATAGTAGTCGCAGAAATTTCTGTCAAGATATACATCGTTTCAGCAGCTTAGCAATGTTACCCTTGGATCTCAGTTGTATCATTATTAGTGTCATCGACGCTCTGCTATACGTGACTGTCCCGGTTTGGCTGTCAAACCTACGGTTACGCTGTTTGAGACGCTCCAAAGTGAAATATTAGTAGTGGTCACTGGATCCAGCGTCTGCTCGAGGACCATCGGTAGAAAAAGAAAGCACAGTCAGAGGCATGTCCTTTCTGAGGTATCTGCAAGGTATACGGATTATCCGGGGCGCGTTTTATCGACCATCTGTCTAATTAGCCAACGCTCGCAAATGTCCTCGCCGAGTGAGTAATTCTACGTTTTTGACCCTCATGTACTGCATCATATTTTTGTCAAGGACCAGCATGACCGCGGACATTCTTAGCGTATGCTGCTGAGTCAATCGTTACGTAAACAGCAATTTACAAAGCGTCTGCGGAAATTAAGGTCTTTTTCGGCGACGGCCTCCTGACAGCTTTGGTACTTGGACGGACCTTGGTTCAATGGTTGGATACATGTTGGACCCACAGTGTCCAACGAGGCATCGCCACCGTGCGTCCGGGGTCCTGGGTTGTTTTACTTCCGTTAGAGTGTTTGCAACCGCGCGGGAACAATAACAACGCTCCGCGTTGCCTGATAGGGCTTGGCGTGATTTGCAAATGCCCTTTGACCTCGCTAAGTCGAATACAAGAGCGCGGTCCCTGTTCAGGACCACTGGCTTCCCATGGATGGAAAGGGGACGGTGCAACCCTAGCGTGAAATCATCCAAACTTAGCAAAGGATAATAGCCTGCCCTAAGGCCAACAGCTCTGTTACATAAAAGCGGCGACCTGGGATTCTCGGACAGGAAAGGTGTCCAGATGTATGCGGACGGCGTCTGGCTCTGACAGCGCTTAGGGTCTCGAGTGCATCTTGTGGTAAATCATGGCGGATTACAATACAAACTATTTCCAATTTACGCATGGCTCCATTCTGCACGCTGTGGTTACATTGTCTTCCCTGTGTCCGCAAACGCCAGTCCGCGCAGTTTGGTTAGGATGTCCTGCACGAACATCACGCTCTGCTGATCGGCCCTGTCATCCTGCGTGTCCGTCTCCTGGATATAATCCAAGGCCGCATCGTACGACAATACATTGCGTTCCCCGAATGTCAAACAATGAAGAATAATCTCCTTTAACGTATCACCCATTGTGACAGGTACCGCCCTTTCCACAAATTTCATCAAGTCAAAGCGTCGGAGCCAGCTTTTGTCCTGTTGTACCGAACGGCCTCGGGTTTCCAAAACTTCCTCGTAATGATCGTCAGAAATGTCCACAATACTGTGATCAAACACAAATCCATCGTTCTCACTGTCCCATATCAGAAGAGACCTCCATATTGCAACCTCGAGGAGACAGATTCCAAGGCTGTATATGTCGTCGCGCATTTGAAACTTCTTTCGTTTGTATGAAATTAGATGTCGTGGATGAATATACAGGGTCCTCGCGAGTGCCGCTCCGGCATATGTCCTTAGATCGGAAGGCCCTGCAGACAAACGGGCCTGTCCGAAAGATAGTAGATAGGGCGTCCCAAGGGTGTTATTGTCGTGTACAGTGCTGAGCGGCGTCGTAACGATGATCGAATCTGACCTGATATTTTTATGAACGAGTCCGAGTGACTGAACGATAAGCACCGATGTTGCGAGCTGAATGCAAAATTCAAGGCGTGCATTGATAGAGTGTTCGGCTGGTCCGGACAATAGCAGGCCGCGCAGTGTACGCGGAGTACCTGTTCCAGATGGAAGACGGAAAAAAAGATGGTGGTTCTTCCCAGAGTTTGTAATAGCGTAACCGAGGCATGGAAGGATGCCAACAGTAGCTCGAGTGCGGTATTCATTGTCTGACGGCGCCTCGGCAAACAGCCGACAAATAAGCAATGTGTCGCGTTGTTCCTCCTCGATATCGGGAAAAAAACGCCGTATCGTGATATCGCGCAAGTCGACAATACAGCCAGCATAGTCACCATTTTGCAAGCGAAATATACCGGAATTGTGGCTTGGGTCGATGTCGAAGGCGGACTCCAGCTGTACTTCATCGATAGGAGTAACCTCAATTTCTGATTTTGCACGTTTACGAGCAGCAGCGACGAATGCAACGTCATCTGGCGTATCTCCATGACTGTTACTTGAGTCTGTCGTTTCCATGCGCAACTTCAAACTTGGAGATGTCAGGAGAAGTTGTGCTAAACGCGTTATCCACTTGTTGAGCCTCTTCATAGCATCCTTAATTTCAATTGCACCGAAGGCAAGATACGCAGCTTCCTGGAGTAGTTTTATACTCTTCACCGGATTTTTCCTTTGAACATCACCAGAGCCGTCTTTTTTGCTTTGAGCAATCTTTTCAGCAATAGAGGCCGCCAACTTGGCTAGAATCATCCGTCCCTGAGGCTTCGGGTTGAGTTTAAGTTTCACTGACCAATCGTGGAGAATGTGCTCTGCTGTTTCCAAGGCATTCGCTGCGTGAAGGAGAGCTTCTTCCAGAAGCGGGCGGGACGGGTGGTTGAGTGTACCTGGGTCTTTGATATCCACGAAGGCCGTGTAATACTTGAGAGTTGATGCACAGAAAATAGCATCTTCGACTATTTCGATATGGTCCGCCGTAATTGTTTTATACTTGGCTATTACTCTGGCAACCTTTATGAAATCTTCGACGTACGATGGTACACCCAGGACCAATGAGACAAGGTCTACCATGGTGATCTAGGTCCCAGTAAGTCTGGGTGACACTTTTTCTCTGGTGGACTTACGTTTGAGCTTGGCCGCGGCTAAGAGCGAAGGAATGGTAAAACAACACAAGGCCCACACGCGTCTACACGATCATATATGTCCATATTAGGCTCACGAAAAACTAACCTTATGTAGGATCAAAACGAGTAGAATTGTTTCACAGCCTTAAATTGAGTTTATGGTTAATACGAAATCTGTTTCTGCAGATATCCGAGTTGGGAATCTACTGAAACTTGCGATATAAGAAGTGCCAACACCGTCCGGCATTGTATACCTGGGTGTCAAATACAAAGGCGCAAAAACATCGCAATAATACTAGAACTCAGTTACAAATTCCGAAAGTACTATTTGTATGACAACTTCAAAGGCAGTTCTAAAACAGTGTATGAAACGACAAGTTGGCCATCTGCTTAATAGTGTTTCAAAATGGAATTAGACAGCTTACTGATGATAGCCTTTGAAATATAGAGTCCCTCGTGAGTGACTGAACTGATATCTTGGAACACACGCTGCACTAGACCAGCATCCTTCTCTATGAGCCTCCATCTCAGGCGAAAGCTTGACTGAGCATTTATCACTTGATAGAATTGCTTCAAAGCCTGCTCTGCTGTAGGTCTATCTTCAGGAAATGCTTTGGTCATGGAATCCATGAGAGACGACAAGAATGCAAGATTTGAGTATTTCTGTTACAACAGAATCAGAAAAACAAATAAAAAATCCGCTTTGCATTTTTTAGAAAGCTCGACTCACATCCAGGAACGTTTTTCTGTATACGTTTCTGAGAATAAAAACATTGACCACAAACGGGTCATACGGAACATTACGAGACAGCTCTGGAACCTCACAGTCTTGACCATCTTTGCTAGTAACATGCCTCTGGTCCTTTTTGACGTCTTCCTCAAAACGGGAGGAGATGTCAAAATCAATAAAGTAATACTTGACACCCTCAACATCACGGCAACGTCGGACTAGTGCATGTTTCCTCCCCAATGGATCCTTTAAATTAGCAACTGGATGAAACCCCTTTGGATAGAGCACTGTAGCATCCAGCATTATATTTTCAGCTGCACAATCTCTTAAAGACACTGAGCAAAACAGAATATGGTCAAGAACTAGTCGAGACACACCTGTGGGCTACATTTTGGCCATGCATGTAGACCAAGCCCTTTGTAAACATTAGCATAAATGGAAGATAAATAGATTTTCCACTCACTTCAAGGGTTTGCTTGACAAAATCAAGCACTTCATCAACAGAGAAAAAGGGAGGGTTGTTGAATGTGTGAAGGAAAGGCATGATGAGAAACACATATTTTGGTAAAGACAGATCACTAAAATAATCGAGGACCAGGATGCAGTGATTTGTGGACTTGGCAGAACCTCCATCCTTAGAAGACAAAAAGTATACAATGGTAAGCTCTTGCAAGGCTGTTTCGACACGTTTGATGGAAACGGTTCTGCTGTCCTTTACACATGTTGCATCAATTACATTCAGGGTTTAACAAGACATGTGCTCCAGGCACAGAAAATGAGTACATTGTATTGTGAATATAAGTTGATATGTACAATGTTCCAGATAGAGTACTCAAAGAAAAATGCATTCTTCCCAGTTCCCTTCCAAAACAGGATCCAACCTGGTTGATAATGAGGTTGTAATTTGTAACCACAGGACTCTAGTAGCTCATAGTAATCTCTCCACCATGCCTCTACATCAGTTAGCACAGCATTTTTGTCAGGCTCTTCAGGTGCCTTGTCCCTGCCAACATTAGCAGCCATGCAGGTCAAGGTCAGAATTGAGGGGCACATATGGTTTGCTAGCTGTCTAGTATTATGAAGTTTGTTCATGTAATGTAACTTGATTAGGGTATACAACAATAACCTTGTTTAGCAGTAGTATGAGAGTGACTGTGTTTGTGTTGTTCTCCTGGTTGCTACCCATCTTCTGATATTGCTTCCAGAATGTTATCCCAGTATTTAAAGGCATGCTGGATCTTCCTGTTGTATTGTATAACTTATATAGGGGCAATACTAGTTTCTGTCATTTACACATTAAAGCAAAATGAAATTTAGTAGTATTGTATGTCTCTCAAGATATGTAGATTCAAAGGAAAGGCTAAGCTAAAGAATTCCCTTATTTTATACAGAGTAATGAAAGGATAATGTACTAGAAATACTAGAGGCTTAATAAGCTTTGTTCAGAAAGCAAGGGATTTGCATTTGATAAGCTCATACCTAAGACAAATGATCCAATGTCTAGAGAGAGATATACTGAGCTTGAAAAGTGTGTTTATCCATCTCTGCTAGATATTGAGCTGTTTACCTATTCTGGACAGGGTTGAGCTTAGATATACAGGCTACCAAGCAGGGTGCAAGTCAAGCAAGCTTGTAAAGGTGAAGCAGACAATGGGTCAGAGTAGTCTTCCATTAGACACAAAGCAACTTAACAATAATATAGACAGGTTAATAAAACTACTTGTGGTTAGTCAGTTCTAAGAGTAGGTTCTGTACATTTGGCTGAACCTCTCATTTATTAGTATACAACCAAGTAGTGGCAGAGCTATAATGTCCTATCTCCTGTTACTTTTCAGCCAGATCTTGCATTGATACTAGAGCTGAGGACTGTATCTTCATTTGATAGAGAGTAGGTGCTGAGTTTTGAGCAAAAACATTACCTTTTCTCCTAGGAATCAGTCAGCATGTGTAATACAGAAGGAATCAAGACTGTATCTAACACAATGGGTTTGCTCCTGGGTGAATTTGATTTGACGTGTCATGCACTCTGTGAGTGGTGGTGTGATTATTACTTGGATAAGCAATACTATTGTATGGATTTTTTTATGACTATTTGCTTTAAAGTGACTTTTATTTTTGACAGAAACATCAGTATAGAATAACATGTAGGCAATGGCTAGAAAAATGGTTTTCATCTTGGACTACTTTGACTGTATTGTAAGTAACAACTGAAGACAGTCTTCTATTACTTACATTACTATACTAGGCAGATGCAGAGATAGAAACTCTCAGCCCTTTATGTGACTGTGTTGTAGAGAGTCAGTCAATAGCAATTGAAATCATTATGCTTGTTAGTGCTTTCCCTGTAAAGGTTGAGAGGATTAGACCTTGTTTGGAATTTTTCATCCTGTCAGTTATTGAAATTTGATTTATTGCTACCAGGAATTGATGGCTGTGTGTAACACAGCATTTTGTTTGTAATTTCAGACTGTACTTTCACCCTCAAGCATAACCTGCCAAACGTCTCACAAGTACTCCTCCCTGCTGTGCTCAAATTGAAGTCTACTATTTACATAAGTAATACACAGCTGTATACATGTAGTATTACAATTGTAACATATTTATCTTCAGCACTTAGGTGGCAAGCTTGCTTCTGCCAATCCAGAGCAAGGTAAGCTAGGTCTTGTGTATGTTAATAGACCAGGCTTAACAGATTACTGGATCAGATGCATCTGCTGTATGTACTATTTCTGCACAAGGCCAATCAGAAATAATGGAATCAGGGCTGGTGTGAGATTCTTCCGATTTTGATGAGTCTGTCATCACAAAAAAGTCGCAACAAATGTATTTAATAATAGCAAAAGTAATCTAATAAAATGATTTCATA